TTGACTACTGTTTAACTACTGTGCCACATCCCCAACCCTTTTTTATATTGTATTTAGAGACAGGGTCTCGCTGAGTTGCTTAAGGCCTCTCAGTAAGTTGCTGAGGCTAGCTTTTAATCATGATCCTCCTGCCTCAGCCTCTGGAGTCACTGGGATTACAGGCCAGGCCTGTCTTTTGAATTTTTTTTTTTTTCTTTTATGGTTCTGGGGATTGAACCCAGGGCCTTGTGCATGCAAGGCAAGCATTCTACCAACTGAGCTGTATTCCCAGCCTTGAATTCTTATTTCCACCTCCTCATGGTCTTGAACTCAGCTGATAATCTCTGCTTTTGGAAGAATTTTTAGATCCTGTTCTTTACATAGTTGCCATTCTCATGCCAATTGGCTCTAAGCTCTTTTATCATTCAAAGTTTTTCCCTAGCTCCCTTTATATAATAAAAATCCTGCCCTTCTTAGTCACACCATATATCTTTTATTTTCTTCATAGCATTAATACTATCTGACATTATCATGCACTTTTTTAATTATCTTTTTATATCTCCTATTAACAAGGCTGGCACTTATAAAAATGCTCATTGGGCACACACCTATAATCCAGTGGCACACACCTGTAATCCCCATGACTTGGGAGGCTGAGGCAAGAGGATTCAAGGTCATCCTCAGCAATTTAGCAAGACTCAGCCTCAAAATGAAAAATAAAAAAGCCCAGAGATATAGTTCAATCAGTGGTAAAAGCACTCCTGGATTTAATTCCTAGTACCAAAAAAAAAAAAAGAAAAGGAAAGAAAGAAAAAAAATTTTAAACAGTGGCAAGGGGTTGGAGATATATTTCAGAGGTAAAATACCTTTGAGTGTATGCAAAGCTCTCAGTTTGATCCTTACCACCAATAAAAAAAAAAGAAAAGAAAAGAAAAATTCAATATTTACATATTGAATGAATGTATGGAGGAAGTTCGGATCCAGAAACAAAAGTACAATAAAGCATAAAATAAATTCCTAGTTTCTGATAGAGACCATATATTTCATTTTTTTTGATGCTAGGGATTCAACCCAGGTCTTACATATGCTAAGCACATGCTTTTCTACTGAACTACACCCAGCCCCAGAAGACGAAATACTTTTTCTTCTTTATGTTTTTTCTTTCTTTCTTTCTTCCTTTTTATGATACTGAGGTTGAACCTGAAATAGGGATGTAGGATAAAAAGAGAATTACTGAATATTAGAGGAAACACCCATAAGTCATTGAGATGTAGAAAGCATAGTTATAAATGTTGAGCAACAAGGCCCATGCCCTTGTAAAATGAGGGAAATATGCAAGTGCAGGGAAAATTGGCCTGCAAATTGTGCAGCTCCATCCTGGATCCACCTCCAATCTGGCCCCTGATACAGCTCTTCCATAAATATTGGACCCTGAGCCCAAGTCAGGGCTGCTTCTCACTCTCAAAAGACAGCCTGCATTCTCCCTTGAATGTGAATCTACCTTCCTAAATAAACCTCTGTCTATGTCTTTGTCTGATTTATGATGAAATTCTTTTCCTTCACGTATACCAGGAACCCCCCTGGTCCTGGGTTGAGTTTCCCCTATCTTCTGGGAGCCCCTAGGACCCTTCTCCTGAGGGAAGGACCCTTCTCTTCTGTGACAAACCTGGGGATGCCCTACCACTGAGCCACATCCCCAGCCCTTTTTATTTTTTTGAGATAGGGTGTCATTGCTAAATTGCCCAGGCTACCCTTGAGCTTGCCTCAGTTTCCTGAGTTGCTGGGAATATGTGTGGCGTCCTATTTTTTTTTTTTTTCCCAAATTTTTTTTCCAGGCACTGGGGATGGAATCCAGGGCCTTGAGCATGCTAGGGAAGCACTATACCACTGATCTCACCCAAGCTCTAGAAGTAATATATTTTATATTAAAAAGTCAATTATAGGGCTGGGGATGTGGCTCAAGCGGTAGGGCGCTCGCCTAGCGTGCCTGCGGCCCGGGTTCGATCCTCAGCACCACATACAAACAAAGATGTTGTGTCCGCCGAGAACTAAGAAAAAATAAATAAAT